TCTTCCCTTTTTTGGCAAAAATAAGTGCAGATTGTTAAAGTATTAAATTCTAATTGAATTTCTGTGGTTTATGCAGGTTACCAAGTATGCACTACTATTGGACATGTCTCAAGCACAAACATTAGCGTCATTGGTAAGTTGATTTTACCTTTACTTCTAGGTGTCTTTTCACTGTCTTCCAGACCTAAAAGGAATAAGAGTAACACTTTAATTTTTCCTCTCAAAGTGGAAACTCCTGCTGTGGTTAAGTCTTAGATGCTCCACATTTAAACAACATGGCTTCTAGTGGCGCTTTGCTTTCGTGGGTTTGCATGCTTTCTCCTTCCATGGTGCTGTGCTATGAGAAGACAGCTTCTTTCATGCTTTTGTGTATGAATGCAGTTTGGTAGTATTGATGGTTCTACTACTTCACAAATGACAGATGCGCAGAATCCTTACAAGGGTGTCATTGTTAGAATGTCAAGCAGTGGCAAAGGGCAAAATTGTTCACTCTCTGTATCAATCATTTGTGATTCAACTGGAGTTCAAGTGAGATCTTTTTCCTCAATGTTTATGCTAAATTTGATCAAATAAAAATTCCCTGGAGTTGGATGTACATGTATGTTTGACATATACCTTATTTATCACTTTGTTTGACAGGGGCCAAATTCAATGGAGAAACTGGGGACTTGTGATTATGTGAGTCTAGAAAACTTAGCTTTGCCACTTAGGTTTCTAATATTGCATATACTTGAAATTTTTTTAACCAAGCATCATTGTGTGGTTGTGGTAAGTATGCTTATGCATGAATATACTTGCAAATGCATGGATGATGTTAAAGAATTGCACTTTTGTGATATATTTATCTTCAATAACTACAATCATGTAAATGCTTTTGCAAACATTGCCTTATACAGAATTACTCTTCTAGCTATTCCCCATTTCATTTGATTTCCATGTTGTTTGATGATAGATCTATAAAATGTGTGGGGCATAGCATGGAATTGATTATTTTTTCCCAGCATTGACTGATCACTACTCAAGAGATAGAGCTGGGGTAGAGAGAGTAAAGGAAGAGTGAATGAGTTCTAGTGGATTTTCTGATGTTTGAGCTGAGGGTTCTAGCTTTTAGCAGATAATGTGGCTTGACACTAGGTCTCTTTCATCCTGTTAGGGTATGATTATTTGTGCCTAAGCTCAAGTAGCCAGGGAATAATTGAGGTTGAGTTTAATTAAGGTGTTTTTTATTAACCAATCTGGAGAATAAAAAATTTGTTGTCGTAAGAATTAAGATTGCTCTCCCAAGTCTACCCATTTTTGCACTCAGTGTACATAGCAGTTATAGTAGGAAGGGGATAGTTGCCATTCGAGAAAGATGAGGATGCTAAATTTTTTTGAGTTCAGAGAAAGACTTATCAGATTGCAAAATTCCGTGTGGGAAAGACTGTCAATTTAAAGCACAATATCTATTGTGTTGATAACTTTTCTGTTTTTTTACAGTTGGTAGGTGGATTAGTTGTCATCTCTGGTGTTTCAAGTTTGTTTCCTTATTTTTGACAGGCAACAGTGCTGCAGCATCCTTCTGGTTGTGCAACAATCATATCTTTTCATGAGAAAGGATTTGGCTGGTTCGGTACCTTAATGACCATGTAAGGGTGTTTACTTCTTCCTCGGTTTATCAAAATAGCAATCTAGATAACTGTTGTAGTTCTAAAGGAGTCTATATTGATTGACTGAATGTTTTGTCACTAGTATCTTATGCCTCTTTGGAGCCTATCTGCTTGCTGGGACAGTTTATCGATTTTTTTTCCTTGGAGTTCGTGGTATAGAAGTAAGTTTTTCCTCTTAAGTTTTCTGCTTGCTGCTAAAATTCAGATTCTGCATGAAAGTTGGGGACTTTGGCAAGCTTGGTCCATTGACCATTCTTCTAACTTTGTTATGTCCTTGCTCCGCCTTCTTCAGGTAATTCCAAACTTGGAATTCTGGGCCAGCTTACAGCATAGAACACAGGTACCCCTTGTTAGTTGGTATATTCAGCCAGTTTCTTCTACACAGGTAATAACATGACAGAAAAGTTGTTAATTTTACAATTCCATACTGTCATTCTTGCAGAGTTTTTTCTCCTCTTTAGTGCGGAAGTTTAGAGGACCTTCAGCTGGTCATAGAAGCTCCTATTCTCGAGTCAATTTTTGAGCAGTTGCAATTTTGTTCAGATGATAGGAAGTACACCAGTTTTGAGACATCTCGGTCATGAACCTTCGGCAAACAAGTGCAAACGATCGTGCCGGAGAGTGGTTTCTGATCTGTTATGGCATGAAGTCTTGGAAATGGATTTGCAGAATCAAATCCGAACTACCACGCTTGTTTGCAATGATTGTTTCATGGTTCCTTTTCTTTCTCTTTTGCACATGATTATTTCATCAATGTTAAACCTTTCTCATGTCAAATGAAGAAGTCAGTGACATGCCATTGATTGTAATATCTTTAGTACAATTTTTGAGTCCTTTATTGACATTCTTGTAGTACACAATATCATTGAAGAGTCAACAAAAGAAGATAATGGATGTCATTAAGAGGAAATTTATGTGCAAGACTACTATAAAATCAATATAATCAATAGGCAATTCAACAATTTAGTTTATGTGCTATTACTATATAAATCAAATTTCAAATTTTTATTTCAATTCTGCCCTTTTTGTAACAGGCCCAAAGCATTTCTCCCACCGCAAGCAGCCCGGCCCAGCTCACTCCATCATTTTCTTTCTTTCACTTCTGTTCAAAAACTACATCGTTTAAGTTAAGAGATTTACAACACGTTTGGTAGGGGACTGACTTATTCCGTCCATATTCATTTTTTCATCTGTTTGGTTGCATTTTGGGTGGGGAATACCCATTCCTTAATAATGGCTTATCCGTTCCTCATTCCCATGATATTAGCTATTCTATACTTGATGAAATAGTATCTAATTACACGTTTGATTTACAGAATAAATAAAAATGAAATAGAATAATTATTTTATAAAAATAAAATATTTATTTTTAAAAAATAGAATAAAGTAGAAATATAATATAATAGTTATTATTTAGTTTCTTACGAATAGAGTAGGAATAGTTATTATAATTTATTATAATATTTAATTAATAAAAAAAATTTTAGAATAAAAAAGGTATAGAGGATAAAAAGATAAAAATATCTCTTATTATATTAATTATTATTATTATTATTTTATTTTTAAATATTAATATTTTTTATAATTTAATCATTAACATTGTAAAATATTAATATATTAGTTGTATTTTAAATGTTATTATGAAGAGGATAACACATTATCAATTGTTGATCTAAATGGTTAATTTAAATCATTCTATTTTCAAAATCTTAGATTATAGTTAATTATCTAATGGAAACAATTTTTGGAAAGTTATCTAAAATAAGCAATAATCAAAGATATTCTATTGAATTGAGAAATGCCTTTAATTCTTGTGTGATTGAAGCTATTTAATTTCCCACTAAAGTAAATTAATTAGATTCTTTGCTCAAAAAATTACCAAGGCCACAGTTGTAAGTTTCTAAGCTGGCAATAGATTTACAATTATTCCTTGCAATTAGCAGTTCTTTATCCCTTTCTTGCTCTTTTACTCTTGGAATGGTATCAATATTCTCTTTCTCTCTCTCTCTTTAGTCTTTTCCTTTAACCAAGAGAGTATTCTCATTGTCTTTTCCTTCTTATATTTCTTCTTGGCGTACAATTGGAGGGAGCATTAGTAATTGCTTTGAAAACTTTAGAATGGCTTTTGTTTACATGTGATTTTGGATTATAAATGACATGTTTCTGATATTTTAAAGGCTTAGAAAGAAAGCTAGGTATCATAAGGTATATTTGTCTTTGATTTTTTCTTTTTGAAAATTAAAAAAAAAATATTTGTCTATGATGTTGTCAATCTCTTTCTTATAGACAGTGGTGCCTTAAGGTTTCCATGACATTCCACCCCTCGCTTGTCTTGTATTCACTTTGAAACCTTATTAAGCTAAACATTTCAAATATGATTAAACAAAGTTTTAAGTTTGAGTGTGGAAAGAGAGTGGAAGGGAGAGAGAGAGAGAGGAGCAGAGACGGTGATCACTCAAATTTTAAACTTTAGTTGATTATGTTTGAATTGTTTTGTTTATATTCTAATCAATTATGTTATTAGCAACTATAAATCTTTAACCTCTGGAATCTACCCTGCAGATTTAACAAGTTTAAGGGGATGGACCTACCAGAAAATTTAAACATGGGCTCACACTCAATATAGAATACTAAATCATTTATAATTAATGAAACGTTAACACAAGCAAATTTATGTGCAAGACTACTGAAAAAATTAATTTAATCGAATAAGAAATTCAGCATTTTTGAAACCTATAATAGCTCATAATATCTGATAAACCATATAATAAACACTTTGAGTGCTAGCAAATCAATTGGTTAAGTTGAAAAATAAAGAACTTTATAGATACAAAGCGATCTTCCAACGTTCAAATATTTAATAGAGATATCATAAATTAATTCCAATTACATTACTTCTATCAAGCTAGAATTTTGGAATTTCTTAAATTATAATAACCCAAACAAGGACACAAATACCTTTTCTTGCTCAGCAGGACACAAATACTTACACAGAATAATTACAAATAATTTACAAACAAATAGGCAAAGCAGCAATATTGAGTGTTATTATCAAACTGCTTATTTGTCTCATCACGACTTGTACAACAATAATTATTGTTGAGAAAAAAAAAAGAAATTAAAACCTAGGTTTTATACATTTCCAATGGACAATGTAACTGCATCCAATTGTTTTACATTCAAGAGCTAGATCAAGGCAAGGCTCACCGCATCTATGGCATTGTGGATAATAATGAACTTTTTGGACAAAAGTGAGAGGGTGTGGATGATCTCCTTTTGTGTAGATGCTCCCAAGCTTGATAAATGAGTATTTTCCAAGAACACATTGGGGATGAGCTGAATTGTCACATATTGCACAATGGTAAAACCAATGGTTTGGATTTCTTTCTTCTTCACATATGTCACAATAATGAGATTTTGAATAATCATTATCATGATAAGTGAGTGTGAAATGATGCACATCAAATTTGTGTCGAACTTTAAGTGATAGTATGAGACAATTCCTATGCAAAGAGAAATTGCAACTCTTACATCTGTATGCAAATTTCGTCGAACAACCACAAGCATTACACAACCCTTGATCCTTTTGAAAGGAGAGAGGGTGTTCATGTCCTTCACATTTGAGAGTATCAGAAGTTAAAGCACATCGAAGGCAGATACAATCGTTGCATTCCTCACAAGTGAAGGCAAAGCCACTAGTTTCATTCTCACAAGTCGCACATTTGAAAATGCGGTCTGAAGTAAGTTGAAGAGGCTTCATGTGAGCGTGAAACCAAACATGCTTCTTCCTTGGTAATTCAGCACAAGATTTGTGGAGAAAGAAATTACATTGTGAACAATAATAATAAGAAGTGGAGATGGACAGCACGCAACCATCACAACATTTTTCATCGTCGACGTCATTGCTTAAAATTAAGTTGTGTTGATGGCTAAAATGTTTTATCTCAATTGCTACCACATATTCTCCCTCTTTAATCTCCTTAATAATAGAATATGGTTGCAATGCTGAATTTTCTTCAAGATTCTCATCTATTATTCCCGACTCATCAAAATCGTACCAATTATAATATTCTATTGCACAATTCACATGGACAATATAATCACAATCAGAACAAGAGTAGCTTCCATACTTTGAATTCACATTCTCTAGATGGCAAATTCTGCATTCCCACAATTTAAACTTATCTTGCCCAAGGAAATAGGTGTGGGAAATGGGGTGCTCAAAATGCCATGGGTGTCTGAGGATGCGTGGCAATGAAATGCAGCTCCTATGGACCATAATGTCACATGTGGAACAAATGTAGCATACATGACTCCCTGAAGAGCCACATGCATCACAAATGAATGGGATACGTATCCGAAATCGTATGAAAGGGTGTTGATGATTTTTATCTTCAATAATTGGTGGTGGTGGTGATGCGCATTCAATGTGAAGAGCAAACTTGCAAATTGAACAACAATAAAAAAATCCCTTGCGTGGGGTTATGTTGCAAATGTTGCAAGGGAGACGCTTGCTTAAGTCGGAAAAATATTCACCACAAAACTGTAAAGAAAGAGAATGTTATGATGAAAAGGGTGATTGATTTTTGCAGGTAGGTCAGCACATTCCGCATGTAGGTAAAATCCACAATCAGGAGATAAGTACACAAAATCTAGTAATGGCTTCCAACATGCAAAGCACTTAGCTCTTTTGAGTTCTTCTTTACCATTTTCCACAGAGATCAATGGATCTATATGGGCAATTTGCTGAAGCTCTCCGATTCTTTTTTCAGCCATGTTATACGAAAACAAAGCACATTTGATATGAAGGTTTAAATCACAAGAACAATCATAAACAAACTTCTCACATCTTTTGACACAGAAATGACAAGTACACAGACCTGTAACATATGGTGGGCTTGCTACAAGATCAAGGCTGTGATTGTGGTGTAAGGGGTGATTTAGCTGTGAAGGTGCCTCAGCGCACTTCTTGTCAAGGTGAAACTCACACTCCACACAACTGAAGCTTGGACCAGACACCAGCTCCCCACATCCTGAGCAATAAGCATGCTTCTCATTTTCATGGATTTGCTCTTCATTGAAAATCAATGGATGTTGATGGCTAAAATGTTGAAGCAGCTCCATCTCTCCTTTCTTTTCGTTTCTTTGTAAGTTTGTGGGTTAATTACAGCAAAATTGTTTACGGTTACTTATGGAAGCTTAAGCCTCTGCTTCAAATATTTATATTGTTCCGGTAATGAGAATGGCAACCAGTTTAAAAAGAAAAGAATTTGTGTCCCTCTTTTCTTTCTTTCTTTCCAATATATCTCTCTCTGTTTCAAATAACATTCTAGTTTTTTAATGGAAGATTCATTTCCCGTCTCTTTCAATGTTTATCTGCAATTTTTTCTAAGTAGTTACCACTATTTACCATGGTAGCCAAAGTAAAATAAATATGTTGTGAACAAAAAAACATATTAGTATTTTTTTGGTACATAAGATAATGAAATATTTTGATTATTGTAAAAAAAATTATATTTTTAATTAAAGTCAAGAATTTATGCACATGTATTTCATATCGTATAAGTTTATATGGTATCATCTATCAATAGAAATCTCAAGATTGATTTGAAAGAGGACATATAAGTATCTCAGGTTAAATTTAAAATATATATCTGTAATTACATTTTAAAATCGAACAATTTATCTCCTTCGAAAAGTATTAAAAAATGACTATTTCTACCTTATCTCGAAAAGTCTATAAACACTATCAAAAGAATGACATAACTTTGAAGAGAGGCAAAGGTGGAGCATCTAAGGGTTACTCTTAAAATGTAAATATATATATATATATATATATATATGCTTTTAGAATTTATTTTTATTAAAAATTATCTCTCATATTTCTTGTTTTCTTTTTACTCACGAGAAAGAGATATATTCTTTTAAACTTTGGAAAGGTGATTCTTATAGGGAGGATTACACGTTATCAATTGATGATCTAGGTTAATTTAATCACAAGATAAACTTAAAAAGAATAAAATAAAATTCTCTTTATTTCCTTTTCTTCTTTTACTCTTTTTCGCCTATTCTTTTTCTTCATTATTATTAATATTTATCAACTCTTTCTCTATAATACCCTAGATATTTACTTTCAAAATCTTGGATTATATATAGTTAATTATCTAATGGAAATTTTTTTTTAAAATTGTAAGGTTCTAAAGCTTGCAAGAGATGTACAAATTCCTTCCAATTTTTGGTAATTAGTTTCCAAAACCAAATTAAAACTTCAGAATGGGGGGTTTTTTTTTTTACATTTGATTTTGGACTACATAATAAAAAGTAACCTTCTCTCGTTTTATAAATTACCTCATCTTATTTATATGAAGATTCAAACCCGAGACTTCCAAGTTAAAGTATGAAGTTCTAATTGATAAGGTGTTCCCTTGAGGAAAATTTTCAAATTGTCATTTCTCATTGTCAAAACAAAATATGTATGAACCAAATTGCCATTTATAGCCCAAATCACAAAAGTGCAAATGGTTAAAATTTTCAGTTAAACCAGATTAGCAGTTAATTAAGTGGTAGCATAGCCAAAATATTGGCTACACAAAAAGAAAAAAAAAATCTACAATCTAAACAACCATACATTTGTTTTGGAAACTAGGAGCCGTCAAAGCTTTAGAGCACATTATAGAGCTTTTCAATAATAAAGATAAATGGATGTCCGCAAGTAACTTGTTTAAGCTAATATTTTTCATATGAAAATAATGCACATTTCTACAAAAGTGAGTAATTGCCAATATTTTCTTGTCAAATTGATCATATTCAATCTGATTCATTTGGACTTAATCCAACTTTCTAACAGGAATTTGGGTAGTTGGAGAAAGAACATAAGCTAGATCACATTAGTTTGTTTACCAAGCGAGATCCTCAGTCTTATCATTTCCTGGCTTCCCTTAAACCTATTTGATAAAAGGCACTCAATTTGATCAATGTCCTAGTATATAGTGTTCTAGGCCAACTTAGCTGTGTATGATAATGAAATATTTTGATTATTGTAAAGAAAGACAATATTTCTAATTAAAACCAAGAATTTACGCACATATTTTTCATATTATATATAAGGGTAAATGGTATCACCAATCTATAGAAAACCCAAGATTTGTTTGAAGGAGAACACATCAACATCTCAACTTAAGTTTGAAATATTATATATATATACGTTTTGAGATGAAACAATTTATCTCCTCCAAAAAGAATTAGAAAATGGTTATTACTACCTTATCTTGAAAAATCTATAAACTCTATCAAAGGAATGGCATAACTTTGAAGGGAAGCAAAGGCCAAGCGTCTAAAGGTTACTCTTGAAAACTAAAAAAAAATAAAATTATGCTCTCAAAATTTATATTATTGAAAGTTATCTCTCATATTCATTCTTCTCTTTACTCACAACAAGATTGGTATCAATTAAGAAAGAGAAATATTCTTTTAAATCTTGAAAAGGTGATTTTTATAAAAAAAATAACACGTTATCATTATTGATTTAAATGATTAATTTAATCGGTTCTCTTTTCAAAATCTTAGATTATAGTCAATTATCTAATGAAAACAATTTTTAGAAAGTTATCTAAAACAAACAATAATCAAAGATACTCGATTGAATTGAGAAATGCCTTTAATTCCTATGTAATTGAAGTTATTTAATTTCCCACTAAAGTAAATAAACGGCATGTTAATTAGATTCTTTGCTCAAAAAAATAATAAGGCCCTAGTTGTAAGGTTCTAAGCTTGCAATAGATTTACAATTATTCCTTGCAATTTTTACAAGTTAGATAAATTAAATAAATCCATGAAACTAAATTGCACAATAGATATTGTACCCTTTCTTTCTCTTTTACTCTTGGAATCAATTTTCTCTTTCTCTTTTGTCTTTTCCTTTATCCAAAAGAGTATTCTCATTCTCTTTTCCTTCTTTTTTTTCTTCTTGGCGTACAATTGGAGGAAGTATTAGTAATTACTTTCACAACTTTAGAATGCCTTTTTTTTTTTAACATGTGATTTTGAATTATAAATGGCATGTTTTGATGCTTGAACGGCTTAGAAAGGAAGCTAGCTATCATAAGGTATATTTGTCTTTAATTTTTTTTTTAAATTAGAAAAAAATATTTGTCTTTAATGTTGACAATCTCTTTCTTGTAGACAGCGGTGCCTTAAGGTTTCCATTACATCCCACCAAGGGGCGGGCCCTCATATAGTTTTGAGGGGCCCATTTTTAAAATTTTTTATAGTATATAAAATTTTTAATATATTCTCTTGATGGTCTTTTCAAGAATTTTTTATTTAATAATTAATACAAATAAAGAATAAAAAAATTCACATGCTTCATTCAATTTTTATTTTTTTTATTTTTTTATTTATATTATTATTGTTATTTATCATTTTTTATACTCTTTGCTCATATGTTATAAGTTTCTATAAATTTATTTTTTCAAATTCCTATGAACCATCAATCTTATTCTTTTTCTTTTCTTTTTTTTTTTGTTATGTCATGTGTGAATTCCATCTTCTACTTGTCATGTTTGTCATTTTGGATTTTGTTCATGATTATAATATTTAAAAATCAATAAATTATTATATAATTCTCAAATATAAGCTGTAATATGGTATTGTTACTTAAAATTTTATCAGTGTATCATTTTTAATTAATCTGGGTTATGTAAGAAGAAATTATCTTAAGTATATCATTTTTTATAAGCTTTTCGTTTTATATTTAATTAAAAAAATTATCTTGAATATATAGTCTTTAAATAATCTTAATTATATAAGAGGAAATTATTAATCTTGTAGTTGTATTTAACTATTTATATTTTATGTATTATAGTTTTATATTTAGTATCATAAGTTTAGATAAAAATAAAATAAGAATATTAGGATGTTGAATGTATTAATTTTTTTTCTTTCAAGTTTAATTAAAGTATGAGTAGGTTGAAAACATTTAACAAATTCTTTAAAAAAAAATACGTAAATCGTCTAAATGATTCTCTTACACTTGAGCCATTAAGTTTCAATGCTTCAACTCATGAACAAAAGTAATGTGAATCAAAATGTCTAACACTTAATCCTAAAGAAATGGATTTTTTCAGTACATAATTTTTAATTGATAAATTTGAATTCAGAAAATATAGTCAAGCACAAGTTTCCTAAAAAACTATTGTAAGTTTTTTTTTATTTACATGTTAGATAAAATTATTTTCTATTAAAAATCTTTGGTTATTGATTAAGTTTAATATATTAATTTTTAAAATTTTTAACTTTTATCCATCTGATCCCCTCAACAAAAATTGACTAACTCCGTCCCTATCCTACCCCTCTCTTGTCTTGTATTCACTTTGAAACCTTATTAAACTAAAACATTTGAAACAAAGTTTTAAGTTTTGAGTGTGAGGGAGAGAGAGAGGAGCAGAGACAGTGATCACTCAAATTTTAAACTTTTGTTGATAATGTTTGAATTGTTTTGTTTATATTCTAATCAATTATGTTATTAGCAACTATAAAATCTTTAACCTCTGGAATCTACCCTGCAGATTTAACAAGTTAAAGGGAATGAACCTACCAGAAAATTTAAACATGGGCTCACCCTCAATCACAGAACATTCAATCATTTATAATTAATGAAACGTTAACACAAGCAAATTTAATTAGTTGTTGTATTATCAAGAGGTAATATTAACCTTTTAATTTTCCTGTTTCTTTGACTGGGGAGATTGTTCGGAGGAAAGAATGGAAGGCACTTGGGTTGTTCTTATAATCTGTTAAATGAAGAAGTCAGTGACATTGTATTATTGATTGTAATATCTGTCAAAGTTATACCTGGAGAAAGAATCTTTTATACAATTCTTCGTTCCTTTACTGGCATTATTGTGGTTGTTTCTTAGACAATTTTGGACGTATTGTTATTATCTTTGATAATACTATAGAATGATTTAATGCAACAGACAATGATAAATCTTTGCTCAACCAAATGGAGTTTTACCAAAATTCCTTGAAAAGTTCAAAGCAAAGATTAGAAAATGGATTGGACTCTGTCTATTACTTTGAGATTCATCCTTCATTATTAGAAAACGAGAAAGTTTACTACAATTATTGAAGAATCAACACAAGAACAAAATGGATGCTTTTTTAAGAGGAAATTTATGTGCAAGAATACTGAAAAAATTAATATAATCGAAGAAGAAATTCAACATTTCTGAAACATGTGACAGCACATAATATTTGATAAACTATGTAATAAACTCTTGGAGTGATAGCAAATCAATTGATTGAGTTGAAAAATAGAGAATCTTATAGATACCAAGCGATCTTCCAATATTCAAATATGTAATAGAAATATCACGAAGTAATTCCAATTACATTCCTTCTCAAATGATAACAATCCAACAAGAACACAAATACTTATGCAGAATAGTTTAGAAACAACAAGACAAAGCAGCATTTTTGACTGCTCATTTGTCTCATCTGTCTCATCATTACCTCACAAAGAAAATTCTTCACATTTCCAGTGGACAATATAGTTGCATCCAATCGTTTTACATTCAAGAGCCAGATCAAGGCATTCTGGATAATAATGAATTTTCTTAACCAAAGTGAGAGGGTGTGGATGATCTCTTCTTGTGTAGATGCTTCCAAACTTGACAAATAAGTATTCTCTAAGAACACATTGGGGATGAGTTGAATTGTCACATATTGCACAATAATAAAACTAATGGTTTAGATTTCTTTCTTTTTCACATATGTCACAATAATGAGATTCTGAATAATCATTATCATCACAAGAAGTGAGTATGAAATAATGCACATCAGCTTTATGTGGCAGATCCATACATTTACCGTGCAAAGAGAAATTGCAACTGTTACATCTGTAAGCATATCCATAGTTGAAAGACAGACCCTTGATACTTTTGATAGGAGAGGGGTGTTCATGTCCTCGACATTTGAGAGTAACGGACAATATAATCACAATAGTAACTTCCATGCTTTGAATTCACATCCTTTATTCAAATTCTACATTCCCATGATTTAAACTTTTCTTGTCCAAGGAAATAAGTGTGGGAAATGGGATGCTCAAAATGCCATGGGTGTTTAAGGGTGAGTGGCAATGGAATGCATTTCCTATGGACAATAATGCCTCAGGTAGAACAAATGTAGGATACATAATTCCCTTTAGTGCCACATGCATCACAAATAAATGAGACACGTCTACAAAATAGGGCAAAAGGGTGTTGATGACTTTTATCTTAAATAATTAGTGGTGGTGACCCGCATTCAATGTGAAGAGCAAACTTGCAAATTGAACAACGATGAACAAATCCCCTACGTTGGGTTTCTTGGCATATCTTGCAAGAGAGACGTTCACTGTTAAACTGTAAAATAAGAGGATGCTCATGGAGGGGAAGGTAATTGACTGCACATAGATCTAAACATTTGGCATGTAGGTAACATCCACAATTAGGAGATAAGTACACATAATCTAGTAATGGCTTCCAACATGCAAAGCACTTAGCTCTTTTGAGTTCTTCATCACCATTTTCCTTAGAGATCAATGGATTTATATGGGAAATTTGTTCAAGCTCTCCAATTCTTTTTTCAGCAATGTTATATGAAAACAAAGCTCATTTGATATGAAGGTCTAATTGGCAAGAACAATGATACACAAACTTCTCACATCTTTTGTTGCAGAAATCACAAATAATAAACAGACCTGCAGCATAAGGAGAGCTTGCTAGAAGATTAAGGCTGTGGTTACGATGAAAGGGGTGATTCAGCTGTGAAGGTGCCTCGGCGCACTTCTTGTCAAGGTAAAACCCACATTCCACACAGCTGAAGCTTGGACCCGACACTAGCTCCCCACATCCTGGCATAAGCCTGCTCCTCACTTTCGTGGCTTCGCTCTTCATTGAAAATCAGTGCATGTTCATGGCTAAAATGCTGAAGCAGCTCCATCTCTCCTTTCTTCTCGTTTCTGTAAGCAAGAAAACAAGTGATCTAGAGGCGGTCTTAACTTAGAACATAAATCCTGTTAGAAAGAAAATAAATAATTAAAGCCTTAACAGCCTAGTAATGATTATGTAATTGGCAGTGGTGTTTGGTATAGACAGCAACATTTATGTTTAATTAGCAGCACTTGTCTTAAATTTATACTATATTATGTTGGGAATCAAAATAGTCCTTGGACCAAGCATTAAATATTTTATTTATATGGAGATCAATCAAGACAGGAGGTTAACTCTATGCAAAAAAAGTTATCAGCTAACTCTCATATAAAATGTGTAAAATTGCGTAAAAGACAAGTTAGAGGACCAAGAAAAAGTTAATCGTAATTCAAGAAATGAATTAATTAAATATAAAGTCCACAACTACTATCATTAATTAAATCTAAGAAAATAATTTTTTTTCTGCCCAACTACCACTCTTGTTTCCAATTTATCTACCACATGAGTCTGCCTTTCTTCGGCCTCTTATTCTTTTTCTTCATCTTCTTATTTCTCATGATTTGCTGGTCAATGTAAACCGTTTTCCAAGCCAAACGAAGAAGTCAATGGCATTAGTCATAGCTTCTTCTCAAGGTTCATAGTTTAGCCATGGAAATTTCTTCAAAAGAGAATTTGGTCCAGAGTTTACAGTTTAGTTAAGCTTTGCTTATGAGTAAAGATTTAACTTGCAAATAGTTTGATTCTGAATTTTTGGTTTGCTTTCTCTTTGCTTGATCTAATGGAGTTTAAGCAAAATTCCTTGAAAAGTTCAAATCAAAGATTAGGAATGGATTGAACTCTTTCTATTACTTGCTGATTCATCCATCATTAGATTGAAGAACATAATGGATGTTTTTAAGAGGAAATTTATGTGAAATTACATTGGTCAAGCTTGGAGTGTCTGGTTGGTAGTTCAAACTTGGGTTCTTCTGTAGGGCTTCCTTCCGCCCATATGAAGAATGTTTGATGTACTTAAATGGCCTTTGGGCACAAACTAATAGCTGCATGAACCTCTCTAGATTGATTTGGGCCTTTACTCCAACCAAACCTAGTGAAGACGTCCTATTCTTCAGCAAAATTCTAAAACTAGGGCTGCCCAGGGAAGAACAAAAAAGGACAGAAAGAAAACATTAAATAATTAAGCAATGATTATGTAGTTTGTTAGTGATATTTTTGTTTGATTAGGCCCATTTGTCTTAAAATTTATAATAATATTTTTGGGAATCAATGCATTTTATAATATGTACCAACCATAGAATATTTATACATGCATGGAGAATCAAGACAGGAGGTTATTGTTTATAAAAAATATAATGAAATTCACCTAAAAATTATATATTATAAAAAAAATATGTTGTAAGTTCTTAATTCAATATGCAATGGGTTAAAAGACAACCAAAACAACAAAATTAAAGAAACCAATTAAAATCCATATATAGACAACTAACTACAATCATTAATTAGGTACATAAACTATATATATATATATATGTAAACCCTTTTAGTTGATCCATCACTATTAGCTAGCTGACCTTATGACAATTGGGATTCCAGTAGGAAAACGTTAACATAACAGCCAACAGCTAGGAAAAAGGAAATTCAATTTTAAAAAATCCCAGAAAAGAAAAGACAGACAAAGAAATAAAAAACAAAACGAGTAATTTTTTTGAAAAATCCTAAAAAATTAAAACTTCATATTAATTTTCAGTTAGTTATTTAATTAATTAATTTTCATATTAGTTAATCATATATATATCCAACATATTGTAACTATATACTGTATATAGTGAAACATTGAAACTTTGATATATTTCTTCATTAATGCAAATGATCCTTTAAAGCAATGCTATAAGCTTTCGAAAATCAAACCCCATTTTCATATATAGTTGGCCATACCCGAAAGGAAAGAAAAAGGAAAAAGAAAAGAAACTTCTCTCTCCTTCCTCGTCTTCTGTTCTTAGGAAGGCACGTCTCTCTCTTGCTTCTACACCTTGTTAGCTTTCATTCTCTTCGTTGTCATTCTTTACTCTGAGGACTTCCTCTGCATCTTTGGCCAAGGCGAGCTCGTCCCAATCCAACCCAACCCAACCAAGGGAAGCCATGGTTATTAGCCAGTATAATCATTGTCAAAACTTAGTTAATCAAGTGGCAGCACTGCCAAAGTATAAGCTGTACAAAAAGAAAAAAAAAATCTACAATCTAAACAACCATACATTGAATCTAATTGATAGTTAGTGTAAAAATTTTAATTTCGTAACCTTAAAAAGAGTTTTTAGGAAAAGGTTAGCAAAATCTTATTATTATAAACTCACTAAATCTTTCCATCTCTAATCTCTTTTAATGTGTTTAAGCCCATCTAAGTATCGAACATATTGCCTTATTCATGGACATTTTATATCACATCTAAGAATGTAACATGATTCTTAAGAGTTGAAGAAGGAAATTGAACATTAATGTAGAATCAGGAAAGGAAAATTCTTTATAATTTGCAGTCATAAAGATTAGCAAAAATATAAATTGTTTCCCCTGGGAGTTGGCGGTGTAGAAGTAAGTTTTTTCTCTCAAGTTGTCTGCTTGCTGCTAAATTTCATTCCTTTATACATTGATCTTGTATTTGTTTCTCAGGCAATTTTCAGTGTATCGTTATCATCTTTGATAATAATATAGAATGATTTAATGCAATCTCTTTAATAAATCAAAGCTTCCTCTGTAGATTCATAGTTTAAGCATGGAAAATTCTTCAAAATAAAATTTGGTTTAGAGTTTAGTCAAGTTTTGATTATGAGTGAAGATGAAACTTGCAAATCTTTTGACTTTTGAAAAGAGTTATGAATTTTTTGCTTTTGCACGACCAAATGAAGTTTAAGCAAAATTCCTTGAAAAGTTCAGGGAAAGATTAGGAAATGGATTGGACTCTTTCCATTGCTCTCAGGTTCATCCATCATGAGAAAAAGAGCAAGTATACGATATTATTGAAGAATCAACAAAAGAACATTATGGATGTTTTTTAAGAGGAAATTTATGTGCAAGACTACCATACAAATTAATATAATCAAAGAGGAAATTCAGCATTTTTAAAGCATGTAATAAACACTTCTAATGATAGCAAATCAAATAGAGAACTTTACAAATACCAAACAATCTTCCAATGCTCAAATATGTAATAGAAAAATCATAAAGTAATTCCAATCATGTTACCTCTATCAAGTCAGAATTTCGAAATTCTCATACGATGATAACCAAAAAGGGACACAAACACTTACACAGAATAATTACAAATAGTTTAGAAACAACAAACTGCTTATTTGTCTCATTGCTACTTGAACAACAATAATTATTTTGGAAGACAATAAAATTTTTGTTTTCCAACTTTCTGAGATTTTATACATTCCCAATGGACAATATAATTGCATCCAATTATTCTACATTCAAGAGCCAGATCAAGGCAGTACTCACCACAATCATGGCATTTTGGATAATAATGAACCTTCTGGACAAAAGTGAGAGGGTGTGGATGACCTCCTTTTGTGTAGATGCTTCCAACCTTGATAAATGAGTATTTTTCAAGAATGCATGTAGGGTGAGCTGAATTGTCACATATTTCACAATAATAAAACCAATGATTTGGATTCCTTTCTTCTTCACAAATATCACAATAATGAGATTCTGAATAACCATTACCATCGTGATAAGTGAGTGTGAAGTAATGCACGTCAGATTTGTGTCGAACTTTAAGTGGTAGTGTGATACATTTCTGATCCAAAGAGAAATCGCATCTCTTACATCTGTATGCAAATTCGGTAAAATCACCACAACCATTACACAAACCTCGATAATGTTGATGAAAAGGGAGGACGTGTTCATGTCCTTGACACATGGGGCTATTCGAAATGAAAGCACATCGAAGGCAACAATAATCCTTGCATTTAGTACAAGTGTAGGCAAAACCACTAGTTTCACACTCACAAATTGCACATTGGAAAATGAACTTTGAAGTAAGTGAAAGAGGCTTTGAGTGCATTTCAAACCAAAAGTGCTTCTTCATCGGTAATTCAGCACAGGATTTGTGGAGAAAGAAATTACACTGTGAACAATAATAATAAGAAGTAAAGATGGATAGCACACAACCATCACAACATTTATCATCCTTGCTGTCATTGCTTAAAATTAAGTTGTGTTGATGGCTAAAATGTTTTATCTCAGTGGCTTCCACATTTTCTCCATCTTTGATCTCCTTAATAATAGAATATGGTAGCAATGCTGAATTTTCTTCAAGACTCTCATCTATTATTCCTGACTCATCAAACTCATACCAATTATAATCTTCTATTGCACAATTCACATGGACAATATAATTGCAATCAGAACAACAGTAGCTTCCATGCTTTGAATTCACATCCTCTAAATGGCAAATTCTACATTCCCACGATTTAAACTCATCTTGCCCAAGGAAATAGGTGTGGAAAATGGGGTGTTCAAAATGCATTGGGTGTTTGAGGGTGCGGGGCAATGAAATGCAGCTTCTATGGACCATAATGTCACATGTAGAGCAAATGTAGGATACATGATTTCCTGAACAGCCACATGCATCACAAATGAATGGGACACGTCTCTGAAATCGGATAAAAGGGTGTTCATGATTTTTGTCTTCAATACTTGGTGGTTGTGGTGATGCGCATTCAATGTGAAGAGCAAACTTGCAAACTAAACAACAATAAACAAATCCCGTACTCTGGGTTCTTTGGCAAACGTTGCAAGGGAGATTGTTACAATTTCCAGTACACAACTGTAAAATAAGAGGATGTTCACCATGAAAAGGGTGATTGATTTCTACAGGTAGATCAGCACATTTCACATGTAGGTGAATTCCACAATCAAGAGCTAAGTACGCAAAATCTAGTAACGGCTTCCAACATGCAAAGCACGTAGCTTTTTTGAGTTTTTCATTACCATTTTCCGTAGAGATCATATGAGCAATTTGTTGAAGCTCTCCAATTCTTTTTTCAGCAATGTTACTCAAAAACAAAGCACATTTGATATGAAGGTCTATATCACAATAAGAACAACGATAAACAAACTTCTCACAACTTTTGAAGCAGAAATCACAAAAGTTTTTCTTTAGCGCACTTACTAGAAGCTCAAAGCTGTGGGTGCGATGAAAGGGGTGATTTATCTTAAAGGGTGCCTCGGCGCACTTCTTGTCAAGGTAAAACCCACACTCCGCACAACTAAAGTTTGGACCGGATACCAGCTCCCCACATCCTGAGCAATAAGGCTGCTTCTCACTTTCATGGCTTTGCTCTTCATTGAAAATCAGTGGATGTTCATGACTAACATGTTGCAGCAGCTCCATCTCTCTTTTTCTTTTCTTGGGATTTGTTTTGCGAACAAATGGAGGTCAACGCGCAGCGACCACCTATAGATTGAAAAAGCCGTGGTCAAGCGTGGAGTGTCTGGTCAGTAGTTTAAAACTTGGGTCCCACCGGGTGTCCTACAGCCCATATGAAGAATGTTTGATGGACTCTTGAATGGGCTTTGAGCCCAAACAAACATGGGCCCAAGCTGCATGAAGCCTACTAGATTGATTTGGGCCTTTACTCCACCAAACCTAGTGAAGACGTCCAATTCGTCAGCAAAATTTAAAAACTAGGGCTGCCCGGGGAAGAACAAAAAAGGAAAGAAAGAAAACAAATATTTCAGCGAGAATAAAACATGAATCAGGCTAGGAAGAAAATATTAAATAATTAAGCAATGATTGTGTAGTTTGTTAGTGATATTTTTGTTTGATTAGCCCCATTTGTCTTAAAATTTATAATAATATTTTTGGGAATCAATGCAT